GTGGGACCAGCATAACACATAGGACTAGGGAAGATGGCGAGGATAGTATCCTCATGCAGGACATTTTCCTCGAGAACAGCCTGATGTTGCCGTATCCTGATCGGTAGAGGAACGTCATCGTTTTTAGTCCATCCGCCTAAGGGATGAAGAAGAAGGACTAGTTTCTTGAAGCCGTACTCCTTGAGAAGACGTCTCCTGGTATCCTGACATACAACGAGATGTTCTGGACCAAAGTAACGAGCAAGCGATGCCGTTTGCACGGAGAATTTCATTGTTTCATAAAACGAATGCTAGCGCACCAACCTGCATCAGCAACGCGTGTCCATTGTGTATCGGATTTCGCAGCTGAAAAGCAAATACCGCGTCGGCGCCGATCTCTCGACACCTGATTCTGATCTCGTTCGGTGTCAATCTGTAATGATCCAGCCCATCGTTCCACTTGATCTTTTCGAGTACTTCCAAATCCCCGCCGACCAACCAGTCGCCGGAGTCTCGGATTATTCCGACGTAAGGATGCCTGGGATCGTTCGTGCCAAATTGACGGCAGCAACGTTCTTCCTTGCGATGGTGATAAAATTCCAGATTGCGTAGGATAGCGAGATCTTTGTCCTGGTATCTGAGAACGAGCGCGGCCGCGTCGGAACAACGCTCTTTGTCGGCGGTGCTCACGGCAAGAACAATGGGAATCGCTTGGCTGATTGGAACATTGTTTTCGTATAGACAGTTGAAATGTAGCGTCTGTTTAAAAGAAAAATGATCTCCGTTATTTTCCGCTAATACTGCAATTTTGTAAATTATTGCGCCCATAGAGTAGACTTAAATTTACTTGAAGATACTCATTCTCCCTCATAAATCCCTTCAAGGGCGCCGCCCATCCCTCAGCGAGCACTTGTAGCCATTGCACATCTATTTTCCCGATCTCCAAATTCGGAAGAGCTCTCATTTCCCTCCGTACATCCTCCAATCTATCCTCCTTCACGAATAATTCATGAAAGGTTTGCTTAAGCTCGCACGACTTCGGTATGATTTGTTTGCGCTGGAGAAAGTCGATAACGATGTCGGTGGATCGTTGAACAGACACGTTCTCCGTGTTGACGATGAGATCGGGCTCGGTGGGTACGTCGTAATTTTGATCGATGCCGGTGAAACCCTTTATTATACCCTGACGCGCCTTCTTATAGAGCCCTTTGACGTCACGGGCTTCGCAGACCTGGAGGGACGCCTCGATGAAGATCTCGAAGAAGGACAGATTAGCATTCTCATGAATTTCCCGTGCCATTTTCCGGTCCGCCGCGAACGGCGACACGAAGCTGCAGAGGGCAACGATGCCGGCATCCGCGAAGAGCTTCGCGACCTCGGCTACGCGACGTACGTTCTCCTCTCGGTCCTCTTTGCTGAAGCCGAGATTACAGTTCAGGCCGGTGCGCATGTTGTCGCCATCCAGGCTATACGCAGGAATGCCCTGTTTCAGAAATAATAAATCAAAGAAACAATAAATGAAAAAATGAAAATCTGTCTAAAAATTTGATTTAAACATAACGATAAAATTTCTTGATATTCCGACTTGAATAGCCTATCGTATTTTAATAATTCTGATGACCCAACAAAATAATTTTCAAATTTGCTCAAATTTTTAAATACTTCAGCAAAATTGTTCTCTTCGTGCGCGAATGCAAAACGATATGATAATTTTACCTGAGAGACGAGATATTCCTCAAGCTGAAAAGAAATGGAGGTCTTCCCGGCACCGGAAAGCCCTGTCATCCAAATTGTGCATCCACGAAATCCTCGAACGGAACCGATCGCCTGTCCCCGTTTTGTTCTGGACACATAATGCGCTTGCAACAACACGTTGGTCGCTATTGCTTGCGCCTGGAAATATTTCTTATCTGTATATTTCTCATCGACAACAACACTTTTACAAATATTTCCTTTTAACATTATATAAATGTTTGCATAAATTTTGCTTCGATGTATCTCACCTCTTTGGAGGAATCCGGAATCTCCAGAACCGACCGTACAAAAATTCCCATTTCTTCAAAGCAGAAATTTCGCCTTTTTATCTGTGTGTTCACTGGCCACTGGTAATAATTTGTATAATGATTGTTTTTATTATTTATTTACAGGAGTTATTATTTTCGTAAGAGGGTACTGTATTTCTATTAGCCAAAGATCTTCATGTGGCAATTAATAAACTAACGGAAGCGTTACGATACGAGAGTAAACGATACGATTAAGAATGCGCGACGGACTGTAGAAAACTGATCTCTTGTACGAAACGTAAGATGCTGTTAGAAGCGAGAAAGTATGAAGAAAGTCACTTTCATCGGTATTCTGGGGGACAGCAATTCCAGGACACGCTTAAGAAGCTGTGTCACGATATAGATGCAGAGCCGCGTGTAATATCATTGAAAATATTTCAAAGATTAAAAAAATAAAGTTAAAAATACTTTTAGTTATAACGATGTTAAATCTACTGAACTTACAATTAGATGTTCAATCATAACGATGACTAACGAATCGTTAAAAAAAAATTAATTTTTTCAACTTGATCTTTTTCTTATTATCAAGCAATTATCACTAATCATCCGACTAGTTATTATAAAATTAAAAATAAATGGAATTATAGATTCAATTTTCATATCGAACATATATTCAATACTTGATCTGCAGCAAATCGTAATAATTTGTAATCCAACCGAAAAGAAGGAAGCTATTTTTTTTTTATAAAATAAATAAAAAAGATTACGTAACGCAATACTATTTATGATAAAAGATAGAATTTTCAAGTTCATAATATGATTGATTTCGCTATTTTTTTATATTATATATTACTATTTTCTTAATTTTTTTAATAAAATTGATATATTCGTATTTCTGTGAATTTATATAAAAATAATAATTATATTTATACACCGAGATAAAATAAACATTTATGAAATTTACATTAAAATTTTTCACAGTTCTTAAATATATTTATATTTTCCACTATTTTCCACAGTTTTATATTTTCCACTCATTTAACACATAATTTAACTTCAATTTTCTTATATCTTAACGCTTTTATGTAATTATTGTAATTTACTACACCTTTTGTTTAATACTGCGATGTCGAAACATGGAGTGAAATATGGTTTGCAAACTTATGGCGTTTCGTTCGTTTTATTATCCACTTAGTTAGTTACTATGCGATAAGTTATGATAAGTAGTACAACAGTTATGATATGTAACACGATAATCATAAATGTATGTATACACAAGATAAAAGCATTATGAATATGAGTTGAAAATAAGCGTAACTTTAATATCGTGATAAAAAAAAAGTTCTTGTAATATTTTAATATATCATAACATTTTAAAAAGTTCAATCCCATATGTACATTGCAATTATATCTATTACAGCAACATTGCTGCAATGTTACAATATTGCAACAATGTTGCTGTAACATAGTTTGTGTACAAAATTTATGTTGTATGGGATGATTTTAGCATTTAAACAACAATAGATCTTGATATTATAATAGTAATACATGTAAAGTTTTATAAACCAATTTTACAAACCAATCAGCATCGCGGAAAAGAATCAAAACATTTAAGTCTCTTACATTTTTTTATAATTTTTTTATAAATAAATGAGAAAAACATTTTTTTCAAAAATAGAAGGTTATTTGAAACTTAAAAAACTCGGAGATAATTTTGAAGAATAATTTATAAAAATAAACGATGATTATCGATGTAAATATTTGCATAATTAACTTATGATATAAATTCATGATTTATCATACAAATGCTTCATAAATAAATATATTTTATTACAATAATATTTTTGCATATGGTTGTAAAAATGCAATTTTTTTATCATCTGCATAGATAATAACTCAATCGGTAACAACAACAATGCAGTATGATATAAAAGTCGAATAGCTTTGTGTACAGATATTTCAAAAATAATCGGAATAATAATAAGCCGTTAAATTAATATTATGTTACAAATTAGTCGTCTCAGTTTGAACAATTACGCGAACTTCCGATTGCCCGATGTTTTTAAGTATCTTGTACCTGTGTAAAGATAGAACCCCCCCAACATTGAAAAACATAAAGTTTCTATAGCTTTCGATTGCTCATCGTTTGCACACTTCTAGTAAAAAAGTTATTAACAAAATAAATTTCGGGGGGCCATCTTCACACTAGCCCCACAACTATGAATAAATTAAATAAAAAATAGCTCAATTGATAGATATTCGTTTGCACATTGCAAAACAGATCGATTTTTCGTTTGCACACCTCTAGTTAAAAAGTTATTAACAAAGTCTTGGGGGGCTATCTTAACACAGGTGGAAGTATATGGAAAAAACTATGTGGGAATTAGATGGGAAAAACTATGTGGGAAGAAGGTGGGAAAAACTATGTGGGAAAAAGATGGGAAAAACTAATGTGGGAAGAAGATGGGAAAAACTATGTGGGAACTAAATGAGAAAACCTATATAGGAAGAAGATGGGAAAAACTATGCGGCAACTAGATGGGAAAATCTATGTGGGAAGTATTTGGGAAAAACTATGTGGAAGTATGTGCGAAAAACTATGTGGGAAGTATATGGGGAAAAACTACGTGAGAACTCGCTCATCTTTAATATCTTTACCTAATCGTTATATCTTGTAATAACTGAAACGCCACAACTTTTTGATTGATATCATTTTAAACACAATATTTTTGTTTTCACCTCATCTATCAAACTCGCTCATTTTTAAAACTTTAATTGTTAATAACTTTTTAACTAGAGCAAACGAAAAATCGATCTGTTTGGCAATGTGCAAACGAATGTCTATCGATTGGTTCTATTTTGAAATCGCGTATCTTCGGAATTCATCCTGAAAACGAATTTTTTTATGTAGAACGGTCGCTCCCCAAGACTTTGTTTGTTAATAACTTTTTAACTAGAAGTGTGCAAACGAAAATTCGACCTGTTCGGAAAAGTGCAAACAAAAATCTATCGAATAATACCATTTTAAGCACAACATTCTTGTTTCTATTTCATCTGCCGAAGTCGCTCGCTTCTGAAACTTTAATTGTTAATAACTTTTTAACTAGAGGTGTGCAAACGAATATCTATCAATTGAGCTATTTTTTATTTAATTTACTCATAGTTGGGGGGCTAGTGTGAAGATGGCCCCCCTGAAATTTGTTTTGTAATAACTTTTTTATTAGAAGTGTGCAAACGAAAATTCGAAATGTGCATACATGTGCAAACGATGAGCAATTGAATGAGCTATAGAAACTTTATGTTTTTCAATGTTGGGGGGCTATCTTCACACAGGTATATCTTGTTCGGTCCAGTAGAGATGCCGGCGATTTATAGGTTATTTAAGTTTAGCGAATCGAAGGTATACGGCGATCTAAAGTACAAAACGCATCTTACGACGAAATATATGAAAGGCTCTACGTATTTCACCAGTTATGTTTAATTAGAAATCGTATATTCATCTCATCTTTTATGACTGTTTATGACAATTTCGGAAAGCCGGGTGATTGCTCACGTGTTCTATCGTACGTATCTATTATTAAATCAAGTACAAATTAGCACTTATTATAGCTGTGACTATTATAGGATGGAGGGTTTCTGTCCGTTGTGCATGAAGAAAGATTTAAAAAGAAAAATGAAAGCGTATCAGATCAATCTAACAGAAGCGATGTGGTCGTGTGAGGAAGAAATGGTAAGCAATCTTGTTCTTTTTTTTGTACTCATATTTACAGTTGCCTTTGAATTTTAGTGCTGCTGGCCAATTGGTTACGAGGAGTTAGTTTTCTTTAATCGACCAGCTGACAGTTTGCTAGAACTGTCAAGTGTTTCTAAGGAAGATGTGGCATTGTTTACGGAACTTTCACTTTATACACCACCTGTAACTCCTGGAAGTATTTCCAAAGAATTAACTGAGATTGAATGCTCATCAAATTCTTCAGTAGAAGATAAACTTGGTGGAATATTGCCTAAATGTGAATCATTTACCTCAACAAAGGAATCTATTGATTCTAATAAGCTATTTGAGCATCAGTCAGAAATTAATAATTCTACTAAAGAAAGAGAGATTATTTCGAAAAATGAAATTGCGAGTATTAATAGTTTTAAGTTGCTGCCTAAGATCACAAATATTCAAAAGGCTAATATTAATTTTACAGTTTTGTCTAATGTTCATGAACATTGCAATAGTACAAAGGTACAAAAGTGTCAATCATCATTCGAGGATACATCTGCGATAAATAATTTCGAAAGTTCTGATGTGTTCGAAAGTACATGCAAAGAACTTGATGTGCAGTGTAAAAGTGGGAACGAACAGCATGAAAATGGCACAGTGCAATTGAATGCTATAAAAAGTGGTATGGAAACAAATTTAGGTACAGATATACCACCAGATATCATGCAAACACTAGTCGATGTAAATAGTACAAAGTACAATAGTTCAAGTACACAAGAATCCATAATAAATGCTTGTGACTCTGATATAAATACACTATTGGAAGGTATTTTAGCTGATGATAACATGACTGCAGACGTAAATACGGATTGGTTAATGTCGTTGCTCAGCTGATGAAGAACTTAAATTTGTTGCTATTTGATACATTTAATTGCATTATATAAAGTCTGAAAGATGCGATGAAAGACGAATGTAAATTATAACTGATCTGATTTATGATTTGTGATAATAAAGCCATTTAGTTATCATAAAGTTTTGTTATAACGAATTGTATGTTCTGTGAAGTAAAAATATTTTTTTTATTGTGTTCATTTACGACTTCGATTATTTTTAATGATTTCCCTTTATCCTCTATATGGTTTAAATGTGGCGGTTGATTCGCTATATTTGATATAACAATTTCAGGATTTTGACCAGTAAGAGATGCGAAAAAATAGAGAGTCTATTTTTAGAATAGAGGCAATCAATAGTGAAGGCTTTGAAAGCTTCAAAAATTCCCTATTCGATAGCCAATCACGTGTCGATCGAAGCATGCTTTTTTTTCTTTCCACCGCCATTTTTCTTAAAGAAACGTTGCCGCGTTTTGTACGTGATGTGATCTCGCCAGTAGTAAATAACACATGTCCGATTTATTCTTACGCACGCTTGTCGTTCGGAGTGTGATTTATATATATATTTGTTTTTTGTTAAGTTAATTATACGAGGACTTTGGTAATCTTTCAGAATGGATTTTCTAGAGTACCCGGATATTTTCGCCGAGGTTAAGGGCGCTATGGTAAATTTTCATAACAATTAAACAATATCGCGTAATCAATTCCTTGTCTATCAACTCTCTATATATTCGATTTATTTTAATTCTGTAATTCTTATATTTAATTAAAACTAAATTTTTCTAGTATAGAAATAATTATATAAGAATTTCATAAGGATAATTAGGAAATAATTATGTCTAATAAATGGATTATTTTCTATTATCACTAGACTCCGGGCAGATTAAAGTTGACCGACCAACATTTAATCTTTAAGAATCAGAAGACAGGAAAAGTTGAACAGATCTCCGCCTCCGACATGGAGATGGTGAACTATCAGAAGTTTATTGGAACTTGGGGCCTGCGTATTTTTTTAAAAAATGGTACTCTTCATCGATTCAAAGGTTTCAAAGAATCGGATCAGGAAAAGATTGCCAAATTCTTTTCTATTAATTATAAGAAGGATATGTTGGAAAAGGAGCTTAGCTTAAAGGGCTGGAATTGGGGAACTGCAAAATTTAATGGATCTGTTCTGAGCTTCGATGTTGGTCATCATACCGCTTTTGAAATACCTCTGTACGATGTGTCACAATGTAATACGGGAAAGAATGAAGTAACATTGGAGTTTCATCAGAATGATGATGCACCAGTCAGTCTGATGGAGATGAGGTTTCACATTCCCGTTAGTGACAGTGCTGATCAAGATCCTGTCGAGGCATTCCATCAGCAGGTAAGAGAAGATTTAAATAGATATATGCATATTTACAGAATTAAAATTAAATGGAAGCTTAATAACTAATTTTTTGATTGTGGTAGGTGATGGAGAAAGCATCTGTGATTAGTGTGAGTGGCGATGCAATTGCCATATTCAAGGAGATTCACTGTTTAACACCGCGAGGACGTTATGACATCAAGATCTTTCAGACATTCTTTCAACTGCATGGCAAAACTTTCGATTACAAAATTCCTATGTCTACTGTTCTTAGACTTTTCTTACTTCCTCATAAAGATAGTCGGCAGATGTTCTTCGTTGTGAGCTTGGATCCTCCAATAAAACAAGGTCAAACACGGTATCATTATTTGGTACTCTTGTTCAATCAAGAAGAAGAAACTTCTATCGAGTTACCATTCACCGAGAAAGAACTAAAGGAAAAGTACGAAGATAAGTTAACTAAGGAATTATCAGGACCAACGTATGAAGTACTCGGCAAGGTTAGTAAAAAAAAAAAGAGAGAAAACTTTTTTTAACGTCCATATGTTTATCTTAATGTGAAATTATTTGTTTAGGTGATGAAGGTAATCATTAATCGAAAATTGACCGGTCCTGGACATTTCACTGGTCACACCGGAACGCCCGCTATTGGCTGCTCTTTCAAGGCTGCGGCAGGATATCTATACCCGCTCGAGCGAGGTTTTATTTACGTACATAAACCTCCGATACATATTCGTTTTGAAGAAATAGCTTCAGTGAATTTTGCGCGTGGCGGTGGTTCCACTAGGTCTTTCGATTTTGAAATCGAGCTTACGAGCGGCGTAGTGCACACATTTAGCAGCATCGAAAAAGAAGAGTACGGTAAATTATTCGATTTTATCACTGCGAAGAAACTGCGCGTCAAGAATCGTGGCAAGAGTGACAAGCTTAATTACGATGAAGATTTCGGTGACAGCGATCAAGAAGATGAACCGGATGCTTATTTGGCACGAGTCAAGGCGGAAGCACAAGAACGCGATGGTGAAGAGAATCAAGATTCTGAAGAAGGCTCGACCGATGAGGACTTTAATCCGAACCAAGATGAAAGTGATGTTGCAGAGGAATATGATAGTAATCCGAATAGCTCTGACAGTGAAGACGATTCAGATGCCTCTGCGGCTAGTCGCAAGAAAGAAAAGAAAGAGAAGAAGGAGAAAAAATCCAAATCCGCAAAAACGGTATCGGAGAAACCACGAAAACAGAGAAAGCCAAAGAAGGAAAAGGACGCGAATAAACCGAAAAGGCCCCCGACGGCGTTTATGCTGTGGCTGAATAGCGCGCGCGATAGTATCAAGGCGGAGAATCCGGGAATGACCATGACGGAAATCGCGAAAAAGGGAGGTGAGATGTGGCGCGAGCTGAAGGATAAGTCTGAATGGGAAGCGAAGGCGGCCAAAGCTAAAAAGGAGTACGCTACGTCGATGAAGGAATACGAAGCGAGTGGTGGAGGTAAGACGAAGGAAAAGAAGACAGAGAGGAAGAAGAAGGAGACGAAGAAAGACTCGCCTGGCAAGCAAATGAGCGGGTCTTCTTTCAAGAGCAAGGAATACATTAGCGATGACGATAGTAGTAGCGACGAGAGCAAGAAGTCCGAAAAGAAACGCTCCGATAACGATAGCGAAGATGAGAAGGATAAGAAGAAAAAAAGTGAAAAGAGGCCCGCAGAGAATAGTGGAAAGAAAACGGTGAAGAAAGGGAAGCGAGATCAGTCGGATGAGAGTGACGCGGAAGAACCCATAGAAAGTACTCCGCCTTCGTCCGATGCAGAGTCGAAAAGTGATTAATGCTAAAAAATTCGAACGGACATTCCTCTTTTCGTCAATTTATTTGTGCCACTGGTTTTTACTTAGCGGTCTACATTTGTACATTCTGTCACCGTCAAAATTTTTTTATTAATATAAGAGGATATGAATTCTTTTTATATTCATATAATCATAAGGGAATGAGCATTAAAAAAATAGATCAGTATTAGAAAGTTACATACGTATATTAAATGTTTATATATGTAACTTTGTAATATCACATAGTAGTGTTGATAATATTAATATCTGAATGCTATGAAAAATAACATTTTATTCGCTCGTTAAGTGTTTTTGCTCTGCTTTCTTTTTTAAATTTCCTTTTCTTCTATTGTAATGAAAAGGATATGTAAAGAGAGAATTCTATTTTTGCTATTTACTATTACAATTCTACAGATTATTTATGTCCAGTACTGCATAATTTACAGATTCGTCGTTCGTTTAATTTTGTCGAAGTATAGGTCTTTCAAAAAAAAACCAAATATTTAATAAAAAGTTGTAGAAATTACAGAATTAAATTTGCTATTAAATGTGACATATGTGTATATAATTTTTCTTTTAGTACAAGTTTTGTATGTTCAATATTACAAAAAATCATGTAGAATATTCATCATTTAACAATAATATGTGATAAACAGCTAACATATATAGGTAACAACATTAAGTACTGATTAAAACAAATATGATTTGATTAAATTTAGTCATTCATTGATAAAAAGTAGGAATGACATTTGAAGTTGTACTGTTCGTGATTGTAATGAAACTATCTAGGTTTTAAGTGCGAACACAAACATTATGTCAACTGTGTGGTTTTTTCTCCTTTTCAGTTTCCAAGTAATTTGTCTCCAATTCTTTGAGTTCAATGTGATGTTCTTTCATGGCTTTCTAGAACAGCAGAGAACGCAGCAGAATTAACGGTACCGTTCAAAGTTTTAGCTTCATTTGTAAATCTTATCAAGTAGTTTCCTATCGCTGCAATCTGACCTGTGAGGAGGGAGAGCTTCTCGGGAACTTACCGCTACGCAATCTTTATAGACTTTAAGTAAGGGTGCGCACATCGAATCGTTGGTATCCCCTTTTAAAAACTTTTCGGAGAACCAATTATTGAAACAGGCATCGTATTTCTGTTTCAACTCACTGCAATCTTCCATTGTTGCACTCTGCGCGCTCTCAACCCCTCGCACTCTCCCTCTCATCCGTCACGCCTTGCGGACCTCCTAAAGGGTACAATTCCCGCTTTAATTACCTTGACACACTGCTGATACATTTTGAATAAATGCGAGCATGTGCCGTCGCTCGTGTCACCTTTCAAGAATCTCTCAGAGAACCACGTGTTGAAGCAGGAGTCGTACTGTCGCTTCAGATCGTTGCATGCCTCGCCTATACTATTCATTAATGACCTTCCGTCCGCGGTTCTGGAAATCAATCGCGACGGAGTCTCATCAGTCTCGTTCTCTTCGAGTCTAGGCGAGGAAGCGCGGACTTCGAACGAAATCCGTGATAACGAGTTCTCATTGTGATGCTCACCGGTAGCGGCGAATCGTGATGCGGATGATCGTACGCGACGAAGGTACTCGATGATCTCGATGAGAAAGAAGGAGCTTCCGGATCCCTTAAGGACTCCCGGTGATCAACCTCCTCTCGAAGATTATCGGGTCAGGTTATCGGGTACTCGATGATACCGAAGGAATTACGGCCGCGATTCCGCAGCCAATCAGGAAGGTTCTTCGCGTGCGACGACGCGACCTTTATGTTGTGTTGCACAGTTTTGTAACGTCGTTGCGTACTGGTTTGAGGTTGCAGCGCGAAGCGAAGCGCGCGAGCGGGCCTAGTTCTCGAGAGATGTCAGATGTATTGCTTGTCGAACCTCGTTGTGTAATCGTTAGTTATTATTATTATTATTATTGTTATTAATCGCCGTGAGAAAGGGACTGCCCCACCGACGTGCACCGTGACGCATGCTTGATCGTACAGCATGACATCGCGATCCTGGCGGTCGACGATCGTCTCGTGAGCAAATGCCCGTGATGTTATCTTGCTCGATCACGAAATATCGATGCCAATGTCGTTGTCGATAAGCTTCCGATACGACGGCTGTTATTGCTCGGAATAGCGATGAGCGGAAAGTACAGTCCAGGAAAGATCACCTTGGGGATGATAAAAGGTAGGTAATCGGAAAAAAGCGTAGTTAATTGTTAAAGATATCGAGAATGTATATGGAGTAAATTTTCGCTCGATTAATTATTAAATTTTCCTTTCTTTGACAGGCAAACTGATTACCACGTCGGTGCCAGTGATCCATTATCGAGCCAATGACGACGAACTGGAGGAGCTTTATCCGAGCTCCTCCGATGAGGACAAACGTCTCACTCCGGAGTCTGACAAGAGGATACCACCGAGTCCCTCCAAGAGCAGCGAGAATGGCCAAGGGATGGAGAACGAGGCGGAAAACATGCTCGAGGATACCCCGCCGTCCTCGGATCCCTGGAAAGTGCTGTCCGACATCAAGGGTAAGATCACAAAGACATTTGAGGAGAAGCTCTCTGAGATGAAAAGCGATAGGAAGAAGAGGAGACGCAACAAGGACAATTCCAGTCTCAGTGACTCGGAGGATCCAGGAGACATCACGCCGACCGACGAGAACATTAATGACAAGCAGGAAAAAGAAGCGGGCGCTCGCGGTAAGGGGAATGCCGGAAGATTCGTGGGCTTCTCGCAGGTGAAAACCGGCCTGAAAACGAAAAACTCTCAGGATGACAGCGTGGAGAGCGGCGTGGAAGCCGCTGAGTTTTCCGAGCTCATGCCCGAACCGCTGCCTTTTGAATCGTATGATGATTTTCATGAAGATAAGAGAAACGACACGTGCAGCTTTTTCGGCCAGCCGGATGAATCTGCGCAAATGAAACAAGTAAAATTCAGCGCGTTATTCTCCGGCATGAAAGATTACATGTTTCAACAGCTGACGAAGCAATTGGCTGCGCTGCTGATCCTCGTATTTGCCTTTTGCTTCCTCATCCCATTGCCTGCTCACTTGGTTGGTTTTTCTATAGGAGTCTTCGTCACAATGACGATCTATAAGCTGGTACAGAGGATCAAGGAAATCTTAGCAACGCCATTAAATAAAGAGCCTGCACATGTAATAGTTCCTGTACTAGAGATACCAGCAGCAGAAGAGCATGCGGTTCAGGAGAGATACGAAGGATGGCTGAACGAGCTGCCATATACTTATGATCCTCACAATTATCATGTGGCACGTACAAAGTCGGTTTTCTTTAGTCTAGAAGGTGGGATTCTACGTGTTATGGAGACGAGAATGAAAGTACCAAAGAGAGCAGTGTGGGATGAGCCGAAGCGAAAATATAAGTTCACCAAAAAACGGGTGTACAATCTCGCTAGTGCAAAAGTAGAATTGTTGCCGGAAGGGCTCACACGAAGAAGGTAATCACATTATACATTTTAGACTTTTTATAGGCACGCAGAAATAAAGATATCTTTTGTACATAGGAGATGGAGTAAGAAATATCCAATTTGCATCACGGTGGATCAAGGAGCGTTAATAGACAGCGCAAGTTTGAGCGACTGGACAGATCTCGGTAAAGAATCCTTCGAGGATGAGAAAAAAATTAGTCCGGTAGAAGGAGCTAGTCAGGAATTAGTCGAGGAGAATACCATGGGCGAAGAAACAAAAAGCGAAGATGAGGATTCTAGATTGGAATTTTTTAAGGACAACGAGGAAGACGAGTTTAAGATCGATGAAGACGAGGACGACGACGATATATCACAATCCAAATCTATTAGGAGTATATACGAGGACTGTCGCGACAATGAGGAGGTTACTAAGTGCAAACTTTATGTGTTCGCACGGGCTGACCGAGAAAAGGAAGATTGGTAAGATTTTTTTAAAGCGCTGAAACTTTCTGATTTTTATCTACTCTATAATGTAAGATTTAAAATTTTTCTTCAATTATCAGCATATCTTAGATGGAAGATTTTTTCAGGTTTCGAAGATTAATATCAGCGGCGTCTCTTTCGAGAAAGCGACATTCCATTTGTTCTGTAAATGATTCCGTATCCTGTGCGAATGCGATCTCTGTGCAGCCAGAGGTAACAGAAATAAAATCATCTGAGACATCTCCCGAGATCACTTACAATACCTATATGAGCAAGTACCTGAACGTAAGCAATGCGACAATCAAGTTAATTCCAGAATTCTTAGACTCCTAATCGAACGATTACCTTTCAGGTGGATCCTGAAGGTTCTCCGAGGGAGAACGATGTTCTTTGGACAAATTGCCTTCTCGAACGGCTGTTGTTCGATATGCATAGTTGTCCAGAAACGATCAATCTCATTCAAGACAAAATACAACGTAAACTTTCTAACATAAAGCTTCCATACTTCATGGAAAGCCTTCTCGTAACAGAATTAGTTGTCGCACAGGACGCTCCGATGATTCACAAAATCACTAAGCCGACACTTGATGAACGCGGACTCTGGTTCGATCTGAACATCATTTATAAGGGCAGTGTGACAATGACTGTAGAGACAAAGCTGAATCTAATGAAGCTAACGCGTGCGAACAGCGTTCCTAGCGATATCGTTGATGAGAAATCCGTTCCTATCAGATCACCGATATTCGACAGCGATGTAGAGGATAGCCCAGAGACATCCACCGAAGACGAAGATGTTGGAAATGTCGCGTCGTATGTCACATCTAAAGAGACCACGTAAGGAAATTTCTGATTTAAAGATCATGATTATTTTAATTTGCGTCGATCTCATTTTTCGCTTCGATTTTAATTATTAATACAAATCTTGAAATTATCTGTAGACATGCCTCTCTTTTATACTAGAAATATAATGCAATTTTTTTTTATTATATGACGTACATTATTTATTCGAAAGCAATGAATTTTCAAAAATTTTCCATTTTATAAGAATAACCTAAATATATCGTAAGAATTATAAACGATAGATTTAATAAATTTTTACATGTTACAGACCAGTACAATCATCTGGCAAGAAGTTTCTTAGCATGGTCGACAAGCTGACGGCTAACAAATATTTCCGACACGTAAGCCACATGTGATTTTAATTATATTCAGCTAAGCTGCTGATCTGTCATTATTAATAACTACAAAAATAAGCCACAGGAGGAATAACTCACGCTAATTAAACGATGATCTGTCTTTTCTAGGCTACGGAGTTGTCCTATATACGAAGAGCGATGGAGGGTGTTTCGAACACGGAGATCCGCTTCATGGTCAGCGTATCCAGCATCGAGGGCAATCTATTGGTGAACATTCCTCCACCGCCCTCCGATCGGCTTTGGTATGGTTTCAAGCCGGTGCCGAAAGTCGCTCTCACCGTTCAACCAACTCTCGGCGAGAGAACTGTTAACATCGTGTACGTGAGCAACTGGATCGAAAATAAGTTGCTCAGGGAATTCGAGAAGCTAGTCGTTCTACCAAACATGGACGATCTGGTCCTATCGTTCTGTCCAAATTATCCCTTTGTCTCGACGTAAACGAATCTTGCGTCGGCCAAAACAATCTCCTGCTTTTATATGTCTGTTATATTTCTGTTCATACTTTTTTGTGTTTTACAATGTTTTTAACATCGCATTAATCGATGTTAAAAATGTTGTTCATAAAAAAAAGTTATATTTTTCTTCATCAACAGTGATTCATTTCATTGAAATCATTTCAAAACTAGTCTGCGGAAAAAGATTTTCGAATAATGTTAATTGTTTTACACGATTTTTTTAACATTATTGTATTATTTGTCGCAAGGAATTATTTATCAGTCAGTGTATAGCATCTACAAGAAAGCGGGAGGAATGATTGTGATATATTAGTATATATGTATGTTACCTTATATTTATAAAATTTAATGAAAAAGAGGCAGGAGAGATAAAGTTTCTTACGAGTGAGCATTATTTTTATTAGAGTATGTAAAAAATAGTGAACGTTAAGGATATAGAAGGGAGCAAGGCAGTTTAATTAAAATTAAGTATAGCGCTCGCTGTTTATTTAGTTACGTAATTATAACCATTTCAAATTGGGATTGAATTAATGCTGGCACCGAAAAAAAATACGGATACGCATCAATGTGATTGTTAATCATTTAAAATGTTTTGCTGATGTTTAAATTATCATTAAAATCATAATTGAGTTACAAAATAAGTAAAAATTCGAACAAATCAAACTTTAAAATTGTCAAAATAGAAATACATGTATGAAATAAAAACATTTATGATGTGGTTTTCGCGCTGTCATAATTAGATTTGTAAACAAAAAATGTAGATGCAATCGATAAAATGTATAAAAAGAAAGCGTGATACAGCGCAAAATGTTGTTTAGGACAAATAGAACGACGATCGCGCAAATCTTAAAAGCGATGTAGAATATTAATTTTGCGTATACGATTGTTGACTCGATAAAAGCTGTGCCACGCCAGCTGCTCGATTTACGAAGGAATGTAAATTTAATTTTTCCGTAATCCGTTGCAAACCGAAAGATTTATAGTCAATTGCTTTTCAACGAATATAGCGAGAAAGATCTGTCTCTAATTGATCGGTTAAATAAATTAATCTACTCGTTCAACGCTAGCAAAAAAGAAAGCAAAATGTTCATGAATGTATAATTGAATATACAATTCGTATCTACTAGCCAGTTTGAATCTATAAGCTGTGTTATTTTGTTTAATACTACACAAATATATACGTGAGCGTTCGTGTATTTGCGTGTCTCAGGGAGATTATATATAGATTAAATTCTGGAGCCGCAGTGATTTCGTTACGCGGTAGAGACCACGATATTTTTTTTAAAAACGCACGGTAACCTTTTTACATCAAAACAAATTACACTGCAAAGTCAACTCTCATACGTTTAAATGTACAACTAATTGCGATATAAAGCAAATATATTTTGTAAAGATTTTTGATCAAATGATGTTCTGTTAGTGAGACTTGCACCGTTATCGATCTCGCATGGTTCCAGAATTAAATCACAGAGGTATATTGTAACAGTTTTTGCAAAAATAAATTATTGTACATTACCAACATGCTTCTCTTTTTCCTAAATAAGTTAAGAAAATTGATTCATATTCTTCGAAATCATTACGTGAATTAACAATGCAACAATATAAATTATATAACTCTGTCACTTATCGATTTCGGACTTATTATAGATTAGTCTCTATTATTTACACATTTTATACATTAAAAGTATGGACAGAGAGAGCATAGTTTCATATTCAAATATATTCTTTATTTTTATCGCACATATCTTTTACTATATTAACAAGAACAGCTATTCCGATCGGTATAGAAATTCATATAAAATGCATTTATTAAAATCTATACAAAATTGTTATCATTATAATCAATATAAACAAAATATTCTCAACTTTGTAGCGAACTATGTATTCGTCTAATATAAAGATTCGATGTACCTATTACTCTAATCGCACACTTTCTCTTGGCAACCGAAAAAGAAAAATTTGGCCATATTAATTCTATGAAAGTATTCAAGTAATTAAATTATGAATTAAAACTGAAAAGAACTTTATTTAAGAATTCCTTGAATCTTTAAGGAATGTAACGGTATAATAAAATCTTTAGCTTCGCGTAATTCCAAGTATATTTTATTCGGCAAAATTTTAATACGAGAAGCTCAGTTATTACGTTATGTAAAATAAGAAAGGTAATAGTTATAAGAAGAAAAATAAAAATCATAAAAAACATGCTTAAGAAATTTTTCAAGGGAAAGCGAGCGATATCTGAGATATGTATAACTTTCTGTTTTCTAGAGTATTAAGACAAAGTGTGCTTTCTGTCTCTTCGTGCACGCTCCTTCTTGGTCCTCTTAATACAACAAATATCACAGTTTGGAGATCGACAGTCCGACAGTACACAATATGTACACAAAGAATGAATGTTTCCCCTGTACCATTTTCAACAATATTATTACTGTTACGTTGATTTTGTAACTCGGCATTGTACCTCATATCTGCATCATTATACGATTCTTTACCGAGTTTTTCCAAGTCGATTCAGATCGCATTGACTAACTGTGGAGAACGCAGGGCGCATTGTCCATCTCGCGTATCATTTGCATCCATGTTTCCAGTCTAGGCGCGCACACCAAAATAAAGTCTCCAAGACGTCGTTTAGCCATTATCACAAATTCGCCGAGGCCGTGTCGCGCGTCGCACGTCATCGGTATTCTCACACGTATGCTTTTCTTGGCAGATGCCATTACATCGAGGTTATTCTCGTTACCCTGTAAATAAGCATTTTGTTTTACACTCGAGCTCATTCACGCTGAAAAAAGATTATGAAAGATCAAAAACAAAACATGTATTATCTCGTAAAACTTTACCTCCGCTTCCTGGGTCACGTAGCGTAGGAGCTTGGTGACCCTCAGTACCAATTCGGCAGTGTTCATCTCGAAGATTTGTTCGACGGCAGTGACAGTGCCTCTGGCCACCAGGTCACTCTGGCAATAAGCCTTGGCGATTTCCTCCATGGAGCAAGGTCTGCACTCCTCCTCCTCATCTGGCACACGCAGTGTACCACCCTTCACTGAATTCGGTTCTAGATCATACTGCAATTTGACTTTAGCGTTTTTGAAGGAATAATCGTCTTCCGCCTCCATGTACAGCGCGGCTGTGTGCTTCCGCGAGCGAAAACATCGATGCGAGTAGTCATGCTTATTATCGGATGGAGAGTAGAGCTGCCTCAATTTGCCACCAACTTCCAGGAAGACCCGCACAGGTCCCGAAATCTTGACGCAAGCGCGAAAACCAGAATAATTGGAATGATGATTATTCGTGAACGAGGGTGGGAAGGAGAGGACTACTCTCAGAGCGTCATGAGGATAACGCCACAGCACCGTTCCCCGAGCACAGCGCAGGTACACCGGTCGGACACCGCCACCTTCTCCTCCACCGCTGTGCAAAGCATTTACATTTCAATTAATACATCTATTTATACAAATGTATCACGATGACAAAAATTAACAACAGCAATTTCGAAGAAAAGAATTGCCAAGAAAAAAATACTCGAGATAATTCATCAATATTAAACCGCGCCATATGTTTAATAGAAAGAGTAAGAATTATATTAACAGAATTATATTATTTTACACTATTAATATATAAAAATAAATATACCACGCGTTAAAAAATAATTTTTTTAACAAAATACGCAAATGAAAAAATTTGGAGCTAACGTCAGGGTTACAGCGACGCTCACTTCTGTCTACGGCCGAGAGCCCGGAAATCATCTCAGCTGTTACGGCACTGGCTCGTGAAAGTTTGAGAGACGTGGAGAGGCCGCATTACGACGGGATAAAGATACCAACCTTCCGGACCAGTCGCACTGATCAGCGGTGGTATGCTCGTAGGCGGACACGCCGACAGAGATGAAAATGAGGACTGCAATCGCCGCACGAATCATTTTGCCTTTTTTTTTCCTCTTTTACGATCGGCTGCGATGCGTTCACATCTTCGGTGCCTCGTAGGCGCCTCCGCGGAGATAAATGGGGATGAGATTAAGTACTCGTGCGACAATCTATCGCGCGTTTACGAAGCATCTCCAGTCGGGAGCGCGTTATCGTTCGGGCGTCCCCGGGGAACGTCGAGATTTTCGGTGAGCACACTCTCTCTTCTCTCTCTTTCTCGGAAGGTATCCTCTTTCTCTCGGCACCGTTCCAGATGGTCCAGAGTGCCTCCACCTCGTCGAGAAGTTCAGCGTCACGCGACTTCGTTCGCGAGTCGTTCGAGGGAGATCCGTCACGGAAGAGGACACGCGGAAGACTCACGCGGAAGGGGGGGCAAGGTGGTTCCCTATATGGCGGTCGATCCCGCGAGAACGCGCTCGCGAGGAACGTAAACAACGATCAGTCGATGCCAAGGGTCCTCCCCTCGAAGACGCGCGACGCCTCGGGACGAGTTCGGGCGCCTCCCTCGCGAACGTGATCCGACGACGTGTGTCCACACTCCGCCGCGCACGGTACGCCTCGTCCGCTCTCCGAGGTCACATCCAGTCGTACGTCAGAACCAGTGCGGGGCAACTTCCTCTATTCTAAGATCTCTCCCCCGCGGGCTCTCCGCCGCTCTCTAACGGCACATGCGCAGTACGAGAACGCGCGGATATACGCGCGCACGCCGGAACGAACGTTCACCGATTACGAGATCACCCGGCATCCCCACTAAAATCCTAAGTGGTCCTGGGCCGCCCGTTCACCGTCCATATCTACCATCCATCGCAGAACAAGTTCGACGGACAGCAATTTCTTTCTTTCTCTCTTTTTCTCTCTCTTTCTTTCTGGGACTTGATAGGACTGAGGCAGGATCGAAAAGGATTAAGCTGAGCGTACTCGAATGCAAGCGATACACACAAATACATTGTAACTTTGTATTCTTTTGATACACTTTGCAATTTTTTAGTTTGAATTTTGGCAATTTGAAAAAATAATTGCCGATAAGAATGCTCTCTATCTTACCGACAGCAATATTTTAATTGATATCGAATATTTTTGCGGGGCATTAAGCCATCGGTATTTCGCAGGCTGTGAAATTGAATATTTTTGAAAGTATTAAAAGAATGAATAGAAACCGTTCTTTTCAGCGTTGCGACCCCGTAAATTTTTGTTATCATTTTGTAATCCATTACTTTCTTTTTAATTCGCCGGGTTGTTCCGTGTCAATGTCACGGCATAAATACTTTATTGTGACGTTTTGTTGTATGGTGCAATTCCGTGTGTGACCGCATAGATTAGCTCTGTCACATTATCTACGGAGCTTTGATGCTATTAAAGTTGGTGGCGCTGAGCGCGTGTATCGAAAAAGCTTATAATTGCTTGTTTCTTTGTTACGATTGTCATGTTTAACATTTCCGAATTGGAAATAATCTCGTTGGAGCAGCTCGATTCGAAGTATGGCTAAGACCAAAACAATTAGCAAAGGATGCCCCAAATGCGAACAGCAGGTACGTAGACGCGTTTCTATCATGTTTATTGAACTCGTACATTTCTTTTTTTTTTTTTTTTTTTTTTAAATTTCACTACACACAAACAAAAGTGATCATTACAATATATCGTATATATTTATATAGTTATGTTCTATTTATATCATAATATTTTGAATCTGCATAAATAACTATTTTTTACTGTTTTATCAAATTTGTTCAACTTTTACGTTTGTTAATCTTTTTTTGTAGCAAAATTTAATATAGAAAATATTCGAGAATGAAATATGAGGCCATAATCTTTTGTGAACAAATTCATGTTTCATGATTCATCGGGTCTGATTCATAAATTGAATGAGAAAAACAATGCTTATCAAATAATGTATAAATTATATATGTTTGTTTATGATATATTATCTTTAAAAATTTTATTAATAATATATTATAATAAAATTTTATTAATATATTATTAATATATTATTAATATATTATATGATTTTTTATAATTAAAAAATTAAATATTTTACATTTATATCTACTGATATGTAAATCGATTGTATATAAATTACATCAAATTGAAAATATTATTTGTTAAAAATTTAATTAATTTGTAATAAATTTAACTGCTTCTCTTATCATAAGGTACCTGTTGCCTGCAAAGCTTGTCCCTGTGGACATTCCTTCTTCAATGCTCGACGCAATTCTATCAAAAGCCCTCCTAGCCCTGATGGTGGAGTAATGAAGACAAGAAGAACGAATCGAATTAAACGGGAGAAACCAAATTATTATGATGCTTTGGAATACGACAAACAAATGAAGAAAAGTGCTAAGGTAAAATAGAATATTGCTTCTTGGACTAAAACTTTGTGCATAAATTTATTTAGCCATATGTAAAATATTAATATTTGTCTAATTTTTCAGTATAATATTTTGAAGGAATGTTCTTGTAATGTATATATATTTATAAAAGTTATTTTATGTTTTTAGATCAGGCGGACCACTGACAATACAAATGATATTGATTGTCGACAGTTAAATAAGAAGAAGAAACGAAAAGGGAAAGGGAAGGGCAAAAGTGGCAGTAACAGTGGTATGGGTGATGATGATGATGAAATGGATGGAATCAATGGATTATCTCCAGAAAAGCAACTTACTTGTTCTCTTATATTGCAAGAATTAAATAACAAGATGAGAGTGGTAGCCTGGAAGCCTACGTGAAGTCTATGCAATATAGATATATATTTATCTTTGACGATCTCAATGACTATTAATCTGATGTGATTATTTTGCTATATGTGATGATGATGTGCAAATGGAAGAGTTCATTATGTGTGCATTGATCTATGAAAATTTAAGTTACCAAACTTATATAAATTTGAGTATCTATACTGAAATAACTGCCATAATAGGCTCTCTCTCCAATTGGTGATAATTTATGTCATCCTTATGAATTTATTTTTTTTTTTATTATGATTAAGAATATTGTTATTTTCAAAGTATCTGCATATGAAATGAACTTATAACCTTAGATTATATATCCTATTTGTATTCCATATTCCACATTTAGCGCTAAATACAATTATCTAACACTTGAAATTATTTTTTAAATTATATTTGGCAGGAAAGTCTTAGATAATACTGAACAATCGGATTTATAATCAAACTGCCATATATATATAGCGCTCAATGTAGAATATAAATACTAACTTTAATATGAACAAAATCTTTCGAGATTATTTATAGCAATCATTATATTTATATATATCTTTTGAAGATTAAAAGACGAAATACGTAAAAGTAATGACTCAATATATTCTTTATGTAAATACCTAGGTCTATTTAAAAAGAATTTATGTACATTATTACATATATTGTAAAAAAATTAGATTGTCATTTTATAAATATGTACATCTATTCAAAACATCAACTTATTTTTTTGTATAATAGTCATCCTTTCATTTTACGATGTTTATATTAAGAGCATTAAATTAATAATAAAAAATTTTGTATATAATTGTAATATGTAAAATGTAAATAATAAAGACGAACAGGATAAAGAAACTTGAGAAAATTTTATTTTCAAGCATGTTTATTGTTCGTGAGACATATGTAACTTATGAACAATCTTGTTTGCACATTCATGAAGCATGTGTAAATCTAAAACTTTCACTGAATATTATTTGCATTTATTAGAAGGAACGTTTGATGGAAATATTGAAAGTATTGTTGGAAGAGTGGGAAGGAAGGAATGCTTGAAGAATAATTTGAGACTGATAAAATGTGTGGAGTTTTAATCTATTTATTCAATTGTATTTATCTAATAACGCTATATAATATCCTGTCGCAATATAAAAGAAGGCAAGGAGTCAATCATGGAAAAGTTCAATAAGCGTCGTAACATTCTTTTTGTGACAACTGTTACGATTTATTTATTTTCCTATTACACATTAAATTACTTTATAGTCAACGATCACATTTTTCAAAATAATTTACCCTTTCATGGTAGTGTCTCCCTGACGATTATTATTCTCGGCGTTCACGGGCAGCTTTGTTGGATTTGTTTGGTTCTCGTTAAAAACCAAGAGCAGAGGTAAACCTCCTATGACCATACATGTGCCCATACACAAAAACACACGGTATAGCTACCAGTTACATCGCGGAGGTAACCTGCAACAATTTTTTTTATTATATAATTGAAAATGCAAATGTTAGTTACAAATATATGTAAAGGAAAAAGACAAAATTATATAAAGATATAAGTGAAAACGTCAATTTAGATGTACAATGCATATAATTAAAATTAAAAAAAAAGAGATATAAATATACATTTTAATTTCACTTTATTTCTCTTGACAAAATTTAATATTATAATTATTTCTTTTTCACAATCTAATTTAGAATTCGTTTGGAATTAAATAAGATTTCGCTTTTATCTCATTATCGGTGACCTGACATTTTCTTCGAAGAAAAATTGATTTCAAATCAGTAACGGCTGCAGTATTTTATCTATTTTAAAATCACCCGAGCACAGTATACAACATTGTACAAGAGAAAAGTTTATTATGATAAAAAATATTATGTTAAAGCAAAATTATTCAAAGTATAATTTAAATCTGAAAAAAGCAAGGAAGATAAATGATATGTCTTCAAAGGAAATATAATTTCGAGATAATTTTAAAAAATTAATAAAATAAAGATCTGCAACAAAACATAGCCAGTGTATTTGTGTACACAGCTTATATATACGTGTGCACGTATAGCTTTTATATTTTTATCTCCGCACTCTTCGAAGTAATTATGCAGATAATTAATGGGATGTATAGTACAATATGTGGCTCCATATTTTCCCCGTTATCTTTGAAGTCGCATGAGATGATTGCACGCGTGTATATTTTTCCACGATATACTTACACAGGATAGTCGATAGATGAGTTCAGATTAAAAGAGGGAAAGGGAGGAAGAGGGAAAGAGGGAAAAAGAGGAGGGGAATCTTCTCGAACCGAATTAAAGGGTATCTGCTTTTGGGCAATGATTTCAGGAGGCAATTCTGGGTGAAAAAGCGGTACCTGCGAGAGGCGGAATGGAGATCGCCCCGAAGCTCTGGAACATCCTCACGAGACCATAGCTGGACGATATTTTGTCGGTGCCGTATTGATCGGCGAGCAGGACGGGAACTAGGAGGAACCAACAGCCTAGGCACAACCCGTACATGCCGACAGAACACGCCAATACGTAAAAGGAATGAGCCATCGGGATCGCCAGAACAGCCACGCCAGCGCCCACCACACTGCTCGATGAACAAAAAGAGATATAAGCGATCAATGATCGCGCCTTCGTCGCGAAAAAAATCCGTCTAAAGACAGATTTTTCAAAGCGGACATCGCTCGGGATAATTGTTTAATTGTTTGTTCATTAGATATTCAAATATATTCGAAATCATAATCGAAGTGGCGATGACAGTTTCTTCCTCAAGATCTTAGAATATCTTCTAATCGCGTTCATTTATAATTTTGAAAATGAAGCAAACAGAAGCGATCCATAGGTATTTTCCAGAGTCAATATTTTAAATTTTTATCAGGATAATAATTGCTTCTTGTTTCAATATTTCACAATATTGTCTGTTTTTTTTAGCGTGGATTAAAATTCGCTCACCTTCCAATGTATCCTTTCCGCCGGTCGAACAACTTGAGATCCGAGAGCCAGCCGAGGCCGAGTCTGCCGCACAGATCGAAGACGGCGGAGATGGCCACCAGGTAGCCAGCCTCCGACTTTGTGTAACCGGCGGCGTGGACGTATGCTGGCAAATAGTACAGCATGTACGGGCTACCAGTGGACATCAGGCTAACGGAAAAGCACATCATGATGAACTGCGGGTTCTTCAGCAACGACAGATCGAGATAGCGCGTTAATCTCTGCATAAACGTGATCTTGGGTTCTGTCGATGCTGTCAGCGTCAAGGACGGCATCCTGCTCGGCGGCGAGGGCGGCGGCTGTTGCTGTTGCTGTTCCGACGGAGCCATCGCTGTCACAGACGATCTCAACGACCTAAGCGATGATCTGGCTGCCTTGTACACGCATGTCGAATCCGTCGACAAATCCTCGACGCTGTGCAGAATGCTGGAACTGCGTATCTTGGAGATGGGCTTCATACGGAGACCTTCCCCCATCACGTCCTTTTCCTCATCGCTGTCAGTTAGCTCGACCGCCACCACGCTGTTTTGATGGAACAGCTCGTTCAACATGTTGTGTCGAGCAGTCGAGTCATTGGCGAACAGCAGTTCCAACTTTTGTTGCTTCGATTTATCCTGATCCTAAGAAATAACCGTTAACTCCTAAATTGATCCGCCATTGATTTATTACAGTCGATATTGCTCATTTATTGTTGTAAGTTGATTGATAATAATTTCTTTATAGAAAAAAGATATAATTGTATATATTATAAATAATGTAATAATAGATATAAGTATAATTCTGGATAACTTTTGGATTATACCTGTTCTTTTAATTCCTTCTCGACCTTCTCTACCGAGATGTCTTCCTCAGGAATATAATTTTCGTCCAGTGGTCGATACAAGGTCGCGCTGACACATACGTGCAGCATACAACCGCCCAACAGCAATATCGTGCCATGAAAGCCAAAGTTCCTCACCAGAAATTCGATCAGAAGCGGGAATACGAAGCTACCCGCGGCAGTGCCGGATACGCAGATACCGTTTGCTAGGGCGCGATGCTTGTCGAAGTACTGCGATACCAAGATTATACCCGGCGTCGTCGATAAGCCACCACCGATACCTGCAAGGACACTTTTCACTTTGGTTTCTCGATGAGACTCGAAACCGCCGCACGACGACGCGATACGTAAAACGAGAGAAAGGAGATCGACCGGAGAGAAGAGCGAGGTAACAAAAATCGAAAATATTCAGCGAACCTGTCAGCACTCCAAATGTAAAAAAGAGGTGTATCAATCGCGTGGCAAAGTAACTAGTTGTAAGTCCTAGGGCGCAGAAAAGTCCTCCCACGAAAACCACCGTTCGACAACTGTACTTCTGGCAGAGCATACTCGTCACCGGAGCTGCGAAACGAAGCATCGATTTAGTTGCTATCTCGATTAAGCATTAGAGGTCACCATATCGGCAGCCGACGATGACGCTACCCTGAGCGAGGAGCGAAAAGTCGCGGGGACGGGAAAGCCCGAAGGGGATGACTCACCAAGCGCTAGACATAGGCACGTCAGAATCGCCGGTATCCAGGACGCGACCGAGGCGGATGAATCCTTGAATGTCTCCATGACCTCGACGTAGAGCACGCCGTAAGACTTGACTAGCCCGGTCACCCAGAACTGCACGAAGAAGGCGCCGAACACCACCACCCAGCCGTAACCGCCGTCCAGCGGGACGTACGTGGTGTTCCGGGGTTTCCTAGTATCGCTTTTCTGCCGAGATTTTTTTCGTTTCGGTACCGCATACCTGGCAGACCTGGGAGACCAATATCGAAAGCCTTACTCAACTGAATAATCATTCGCAAAGGGCGACTATGTAAGTTTCATTAAAATTCAATTTTATTCGTAGGAGCAAAATCAGGATAAGATTCACACGTGGAAAGAATCGCATAAGTTGACATAAGAGAAATGGGTACATGCAATTTAACTTAAAGTTTGCAGACTAAAACTAAATATATACTTTTGTTATTGGGTCTTTCCGCGCTTGTATTCTTTATATTGATTGAGATTTACTATGTTTTTTCCATCTATCCGTTATCGTTTTTTCAGAATTCACCTAAAAATCACCGACACACTTTTTGCATGCAGCCGCTCGATGACAACAATAAACAACGCATTCAAATAAACAAGGAAGAATCAAAACACGTTTAATTGATTGTCGCAAGCACATGCACAATCGGCACTGGACGTCCCGATACCTGATCAACACACCCCTGACATATTCACTCCGACACCGACCTGAGCTCCCTGGATTTAGCGATGAGCGGCCGGGCAGTGAGGCTGGATATCGTCAGCAGGTTGTCGTTGTCCTCGTCCTCGACGACAGTGCCCTCGGGGCTCTGCAGGTGCGGTGGTACGATCGGCGTCGACGTCGCCGTTGCCTGCACCGCCAGGGAGGCCGGCCGTTTCGGCGATGGCGCCCCGGCGGCGACGCCGCCGCTCAGGTCGAACACCGGCGCCGAGTGGATGGAGAATAGCGAGCCCAGCTGAGTCGCCGGCTGATCATTCATATTCTCGTCGATGACGGTGACAGCCATCTCCTGGGACGCTGCCGCGGTGACACCGACATCGATGTCGGCGAGCAGGCTCGACGCCCGACACGCGTCCTGAAAGCTCCATTCCCGTGGTAGCGACATGTTTCCTCGGCGGCTTCCTTGGCGGAACCGGGGGGACCGTAATACATTGGATTATGTTGCTTGGTTGATCGCGCGTGGTTTATTTGTTTCTCGGTCTCTCTGATCGTCCGAGCTCTGTCCTCGCGCTCTGTGTCAACCTCGCCTGGTTCACCCTCGCCTGCTTCTCCACTGATAGGAGAACGGACCTGTCTCGAACCTGGTGACGTCTACTTGTTCTAGGAGCGCTGTTACAATTATACAATTCTCTTGTATTTCTCTTTCTTTTCTCTTGACTCTTTCCTTTTGATACCGCAAGCCCCTCAGTGAGGAGGGCTTCCGGTGTCTCTTGTGTTGGCTCTCGAAGACGACAAAGACGACGAACTTGGAGAATAAAAATGTCAATGATCCACGGTCAGCGTTTTCCTGTCTGGCTGCCAAAAGCACTTCTTCCGACTTTGCTTAACTTAGACTGAGACTCTCGCTGAACACGAGTGGGGTGCGCACGCAGACTGGTGGAGGGTTGCTACTAACTGGAAATTTACAGTGGGATCGATACGTCGGTGACGCTGACGCGCAAAGGCATCTTCACGGAAATCACCCGCGACCCACGTGCAAACTACTGTACAGGGGGGAAAAATTACGCGTGTAACGAACGCGAGACAAAATCCATCATTTTCGAGCGAGTGAAACTGGGTTACATGAATATGGAGCTATACGAAGTCTTCTGATAAAAGAGAGAAAGAGAGAATAAAACAAATTACTACATTTGAAGCATCTTATATATATAGAATTAAAGTTGAAATGCAGTTGAATAAAATCTGATTCGTTTGACAAAAATAGAAGTTACTCAAATGCAAATCTATTTCATTTGCTATGGCCAATATTATTGCATTCACATAGAAAGAGAAAAGAATAGTTTAAAATATTTTATATATAAAGTCTTAACAATTGAATAAAATTTAATACATTAAAAAAAATCAAAATTGCTTAGATTATTGCAATTCAATAATTGAATTTTAATTTTATATTCTATTTACAAGAGAAATGCAAAACTTTATGATAAAAGAAAGAATAATAAGTCACTGCTCATAGAATCTTATATGAAATGTTAGCGATCGTAATTGTTTCTAAAAAAGATTACTATTTTGAAAAACACAAATATTTTGGTAAAAATGTTGTATTTCTTTCACGTAGTGGGTAATTTTTATTAAAAAGCATCTATTATATAAAAATTTAAAATCGAAAATTTTGATATATATTATATAATTAAATAAACAATTTATATGTTTATAGAGATATAAAAATATCTGTTAGTCAATTTAAAAATTGCGATTTTAAATACTACGTCTAAAATTGTAATGTTTACATACTTTTGTCAGCATATTACTTATTATTTTAATAAATTTTAAAATTTCTTTGGCCTAGAATAATCGCTGATCATTCGAAAACGTTGTATTCAAAATCTCATTAGAAAGTGTTTTGCATTGCGGTTTAAGCTGATTGTCTCCCCGGCGTTGGCCTTCGCCTGTCATTACGTCATCTAGCGTGCGCTGCTCGCCCTGGATTGCCGTAATTACCTGGTAACAGCAATTGTGGAAAAAGTTTGCGCAGAGATAATCATTTCGCGAATTGCTGCATCGAGATATCATATAATTACGCATGCCAATAAGACAAGAAAAAGATGAAGGGTTGTGATATGCTACTGATTACTTGTCATTATTTAATCCGATTATTCAGCATCGTT